GATCGAAAGAGTTTTTTTAAATATTTGTCTGGCCTCGAGATTGAACGTTATGTTTATTTTTGCTTGTGTTTGGCAATACAATATTTTTCACCCTGTCAATAATTTCTTTTCCATGTGTATATAAACATTGCTGCTCTTTTCAAATTTTAATTGAACATTATTGGCAATATTGCCATGGCTTGAATCAAAAGAGAAAAAAATAGGGGGAGTTGAAACACATTCCTCACAAAATCAGAAAGAAATGCGATTATTAACAAATATAAAGGTGAAAGCAAAACGTAAAAAAGATTGGCCAACCTCAAAGCAAGAACAAAGCCAAATGCATCGGTAATAATATTGTAAATAATATTAAATATATTTGTGGGTGAATCTTTATTCAGTACATTTGCGTGTCAAACACCTTTAGCATAACTATTGTTATAGGAATCAATTGTTTGTCGATGGTAAACAGATGATGGCATTCGATAGATTTGATTGTTTTTAGTATTTCAAACAATTTCGGAATTAGGTAAATTTGAAAAGTGATTTCTTGATATGTAAACAAGACGATTTCCACCGTTAATCACCAATGAAAATTATTCAAAACACTTTCAATAATATATGTGACGTGTGCAGATGCTATTGTATTTGCATTTCAAGATGTTCAATTTAAAATAAAAAGAAATTGGACCTTTTATCTCATTGACGCCACATACAGATGGCATACTATGCATACTGCCTGTTGAAATACATTGCCCCCCATTTTGAGTTTATGAAATGATAGTATGTTCACATGTTTCGATTCGGTATTGAATTGTGTGTGTGGCGCATTGTATGATTGATAAAATATAAGAGGCAGAATATTTTCAAGTAGAATCTCAACAATGAATAGCATTTGTAAATTGAAGGAACATACATTCTTTTCGAACTCATCAAGAATTTTATATGCTCATTGCAGTTTATTAGCCTCGTGAATGTTCAAGAAATATAAGTTACTAAAGAATATCTGAAGTGTGCTTATCACCATGATTTACATGTGTGAAAGAAAATTGCCTTTCGTATCGTTTTTGAAAGAAGGTCACCTGCTGAGAAATCCGGGCACTTATTATACAATCGACGTAATCATAAGTTACATTATTATTTTTTTTTGATGAAAAGCTTCTCTTTTACACAATAATTTGCTCATAAAAAATGGTATGTAGTTGGAGGTCAACTTAAGTATTCGCGCCGAGATTATGAAAATGTAAATTTTTTCAAGAGAAAACCCAACAGTTTTAACGGCAGTATTTCTTTTAAAACAAATAACAATGAAATAAAAAAAAGACTGTATCAATGCAGTGAATTTATTATAGGTTCGTGAAAGTGTCCCCTTCCATTGTTTATTTCATTATTTCTTATTTCATTTTGTATAGTATCGATTAAAGTGAACCCGTATACATGCTTAACATAAAATAAAAATAACACTTCAAAAATTGTTTTTTCTATGCCAAAGACCACAGAAACTGGAGTATATATTATTGTTAGTTTTTCTTCGTACTGTTTTCTAATGGGTTCTCCGAGTGAACGTCTCTCATTTTGATGCATATGAAACAACAAATACGAGCAGAGAAATATGAGCTGTGAGTTGTTGTTTATCATGGGAAAAAGACATAAATCAATGCAAAAACTTTCATTTTTCTCTCAAATTGAAATGAAACCAAACGGTCAGTATAGCTAAAGGAAACGTCAAATTTTTCATAAGAAACTAAAGCATACACAATTAACTTGAATTTTAATCGGATTTAAATCAATAATCGATTCTTATCTTCATGAAATGTGCGTGTATGCCCACTGGAATTCGTTGTGCATTTTTAGTTCTATATCCGCTTGATAACTCTACGACGACTAAAACACAATGCTGTCGAGAACTTTCGATTATGGCTCAATCAAGGTTTTTTTCTTAATTTTTTCGAGCATTTAGACTTTGAAGTGTAATTATAAATTAATTGTGTCGTAAGAAAATTAAATCATCTTTATGAAGCACAACTATTTATATATACGTTAAATTGCCGAAATTGCTGTTTTGATTGATCTGAACGATTGAAATTTTGAAGATGTTCTATTTTATTTTTTTATTTCACACATCTGTTTAAACTCGAGTCAAAATAAGGTATAAATTCAATCATACTGGTTAAAAGAACGTACCAAAATTTGGTTTAATTCAACCATCTAACATATGTTTTGGAACGTGTTCAAATAAAAAGAAGACGAAATGCGCACGCATTGAAAAGTCGAATCCTATTCAAATGAAAATCGTTAAGATGCATTTTCATTCGCCTTGTGCTCCGTTATAGATTAATTAATCGCATCATATTGTTCAATCCAAATGGCCAAATGGGTATATATTCGTCACTCTCCATGGATACGCATTTATTAAATATAAGAATACCAAATGTTTTTGCCTCCATTTGAAAGAAACATTTTATTGAATGATATTTGGTTTTTCGAATCCATCACTTTGAAAAAAAAAATTCTTTTATTTTCGACACGAGCGCTGTTACTTATAGATTTGCAAAACATATAACATCATGTTTCAGACGTGAGTCGTGTGTCTTTTTTTGTAAATAAGAAATTAAAGATATGCGTAAAATTGAATTTCAAAGTTATTCGAAAAAAAAAAGAATAGCGGCTGTTGTTGTGAACCTTAAATGTCTAAGGTGAAATCGCCCGCATATTGTACGAATTGAAGTGAGAATTTGCGCGTCTTGTCGGGCCATGTTTCGCTTTGCTTTGGTGATAAATGTAATTGTTGTAGTTATGCCACGTATTAATATAAACGCATGCTAACACTAGTAGTAAAACAAACTACAAATATCTCAAAACAAAAATAAGCGTATATATGTATACATACGGAATTTTTTCCGAGCTGTGCGACGAATGTAATTTTAGCTCGTGGCACAAAAATGCAAACACACTTCTCTTCAACCTAATGTCTATATAAACCATATGATACAACAAATGACTTGGTACCTTTGACTATTGTATTTCGACGATTCAAACACATTCTTTTCCCTCTATCTCTTCTGCTTCTATTCACATTTTTATTATGAAAAAAAAAAAACTGCGAATGAAGCGCCATACTGTACATTGAAAGGAATGAAACATTTGTGTTCCAAACACCTGGCTATTCTCATTCAATTGTCGGCCAAACGTAAAACTTTGTCGTGGTTCTTAGGTTACCTATAATGCGTAGGCATGCATGTTGAAGTGATCATTCATTTCAAACAATGAAAAAAGAACCCAGACAGATATTCGAAATGTTTATTTTATATTCTCTTTTTATTTCTGAATTTGAATTGTAACGAGTGAAACCATAACATCTGATTGTTAGCTAGGTATTTACCGTATGCGCGAACTCAGCCAAAATTACGTTCAATTGTGATGTAATGTATTTTGACTTTATTTCATGATAACATTCCATTAAAAAAAAAACAAACATTTACACACAAACACAAAATCAAGAAATGTATGTACAGATTGCTAATTAATTTGGATATTCTTTAACTAACGGGTTTGATCATGACGCTTGAAATTTTTGTGAAAACAAAACCGAGCATAGAACTTAGTCTCTTTTATGGTGAAAAAAATTCAATTAGGCAAATTGATGAAAGAGAACGTAACACACACACACACACACACATATATACGTAACAATAAGACAAAAAAAATTCCTTTAAAATTTTCTCTCTTTTTTCGCTGAAAAAAAAGTCTACAAAAGAGCCTTCCCCCTTTCAAGCAGAAAAATCAAGCATTTTGTTCATGTGTATACGTGAATATATGCGATTTTATGTGCGTGTTTTTTCGTATTTTCTTCTCTTACTCATTTTTGATCAATCAAAATGACCAACGGCTCGTGTTTATTTTTTAATATAGAAAATGAGAGGGAGTAAGTCTATCAATAGCATCGAATGCAAGGGTCTTTCATTTGTTTATCACTTTATGTACAGTTCGTTTAAATAATATATCCTCTCTTCTCTTTTTTTTAATGCCATACATTGCATCGATGTATCTGACGGAATTACGAAAGAGCTAAAAACATAACGAGTAGAAACAAAAATCAACTCGCAAATAAACATTTTACGTCCAAAATCATGCATATCGGAGCACTTTTGTAAAAAATACAGGCCTCAATCATAGTATGCAATGAATAAAGTATTTGAAGTGTTGTATTGCAATGCCTGCAGGGGATAGATGCATACAACGGCAATCAATACCATTTATCTTCAATGTATAGGACATAGTCGATATTTTACATAAAATTCAAATTAACGAAAAAAGCGCATGCATTACATAGCTCTTCCAACACTTATTCGAATTCTTTTGTTTTAGATGTATGCTCAAAACCAACTCCTCTAGATTACCACTACCATCACCAACACCATCACCATTAACTTTATCCCTGATGTTTCCATCACTCCAATTGTATAGACACAGATTTTTTGGTCTAAAAGAAATCATTTACACTCATAAGACCAACTTTTCTGTACATTTTGAACGATATACATTCAAGGCCAAAAAAACTGTGAGATATCACGAACGTCGAAGTTTCTTGTCCACCGCCTTTATCTGCCATTGATGAACAATATCATCCACCTATTCTCTTGACGTATGAATGGCACATAAATAACTTAACCCAAGAGCAAATTCCAACTAGAAACTTCCTTAAAGCCGACTACATTGCAATGAATAGGTACTTTGCCAAAATCGATTTTTCCGAACACTTTTCAAATAAGCCTCTTGACCATAAAGTCGACATTTTGCACCAAATTATTAACGAGGCGATTGAAAAGTTCGTACCTGTTCGAACGAAAAAGATTACATCGAAATGTCCGTGGAACAACAAGCAACTCCAGTCTCTCAAAAATAAAAAGAACAAGGAGTGGAAAAGATCGAAGTCAACTAACAATGACTCTGACTATTTGCTTGCGCTTGAAAATTACAGCAAACTTAACATGGAACTGTACAATTCGTATGTCGACAAAATGACTTCTTCATTGAAGTCCGACCCTACATCGTTCTGGCGTTTTGTTAACACGAAGAAAAACAGTGACTGTGACCCAAAATCGTTGCATTATGGTGACAAATCATCGGTTGATAAGATGGAGCAAGCTGAAATGTTTGCAACATTTTTCAAAAACAATTTTGCAAATCAACCGTCTCTAATTCAATCGACAGCACCAGCGTCAACTCAAACAAATTCTTCCGTTGACAATTTCATTCTTAACGAATTTTCTGTTTTTGACGAGTTACTAAAAATTAACTCTAAGAAAGGCGCAGGACCAGACGGAATTCATCCAATCCTTCTTAAAAATTGTGCTGGCTTATTATACGAACCGCTGTCAATGATTTTCAATGATTCCCTTTCCACTGGACACTTTCCTACGAGATGGAAACGTTACAGCGTTGGACCAATATTCAAAAAGGGATCACGTTCTAACGTTGAAAATTATCGGTGCATTGCCAAATTGCCAACGATCGCCAATGGAGATCAGCAAGATGGTAGCCGATAAAATAGTTCCACAACAACACGGTTTTATGAAAGGTCGCTCGACTTCGATGAATCTTTTAGAATTCCTGCACTATTCTATGAAGGCAGTGAACGAAGATAAGCAGGTAGAAGTACTTTATACTGACTTCAGTAAGGCATTCGACATTGTTGATCATTCGATTCTGATTTCAAAACTACAAAACTTCGATCTGCCTCCTAACTTAATTGAATGGATCAAATCGTATTTGTCAAATCGTCGTCAATTCGTGAAATATGGGCAAATGGAGTCAAGTGAGTTTGTCGTTAACTCAGGAGTTCCTCAGGGAAGTCACTTGGGCCCCACCCTATTTCTGCTTTTCATCAACGACATTGTTAATTCCATTAAAGATGACGACATTTTTATCTCTCTGTTTGCTGACGATTTGAAATTAGCAACTTCAATCGCTAACACCAATGACTGTATCAAACTTCAAGTTGCAATCAATAAATTAAAAAATTGGTGCGAAGCAAACAAACTTCATTTGAATCTTGACAAATGCTCTGTTATGTCAATATCAAAAAAGAGAGAGCAAATCGTAAGTTCCTACTCTTATGGCAGTCACAAATTCAAGAGAGTGAGCGAACAAAGAAATTTGGGAGTTATCTTTGACAACAAACTTAACTTCATCAAACATATCGATTCAATCGTGGCCAAAGCAACATCAGCACTCGGATTCGTAAAGAGATTTTGCTACGATATTCCGGATGTCAATACTCTCAAGTCATTATATTGCGCCCTCGTACAATCAATCTTGGAGTATGGCTGTTTGGTATGGCTCCCGTACCATGATATACACAAGAACAAAACCGAATCGTGCCTGCGTCAATTCTCAATGTTTGCTCTCAAGGAGTATCCAAATATTTCAAATGACTACAGGATTTCATCGTACAGTACTCGCCTAGGCAAACTAAACATGCAATCACTCCAAAGGCGCCGTATCAACGCATCAATTCTATTCATTTTCGACTTGATGCAAAATAACGTTCACTGCCCATCACTGAAGACTGAAATTGCCCGCAATCAAAATGGACGTAACTTAAGATGTGTGGAGTACTTCAAAATCAATGACAAGAACTTCAAAATCAATCCATCAGTACCAATCAACCAAATGTGCAAAATGTCAAATAAGGTCTACGAACTATTTTCAACGCAATCAAAACGATCAACTTTCAAAACTCGACTTTTAGCCTTAAGCGATGACCATTTTTCTAACTTGTCATTGGTGTCTAACTATAACACTGTTTTCTTTAACGATCTAATGTGATACATTGTGATTTTTGTAAAGATATAAATTATTTATTTAATTATTTATTTATTTATTAATTATTTTCTGACTCATTGTAACCGCGTGCAATTTGAAAATGTTTAGTATTTATAAGTGTTTTTTGCTGTTTGACGGTAATTTGAACAGTTTACTATTAACTATTAGCTATTACTGTAAGAAGTAGCTAATTAGTTATCAGAAATATTTATTTTAATGGTGATCAGATGTATACCAAATGTGTATCATTGATTCATACCTTTTTCCCACCAAACAAATGTATAAAAATTATGTACAAACTCAAAAGATTCAGCCAGTTTTGGCGGTGAATAAATATTATATATATCTTAGGCGATGTCAGTAAAAAAAAATATCTAATTCATTTTTTTCGTTTGTTCTAAAAATCAATCGGACCCTATAGTCGAAGTCAAATATTTCCGGAGTGATTACAATATTTTTTCATGCCAAACAGTGGAGATGCAAAACAGACCATAGAAAATTTTAATATACCAGACGAATGGCACTCAACCCGATTTTTGTTTTCATAAAACAAAAATAAGCATAATATTGTGCGTGGTCCAGCTCAATAGTTGCCTATATTTTATGCATTTTCACAACTCTCAATGTACTCAATTCAGTTTATGCTTGTGCAGAGATCATTCAAAGTGTTCAACTTTTGATGATGGACAAATCTCGCGATTTTTTTTTAAAGGGAAATTATTTTCCAAAAATACCATAAACGTTCGTCAAATTAGAAAGAACAAATCTATGCATAGTTCCAAAGTCCATATAAAATTGGTCGGTATATAAAAAAATATATATAGAAAGCAATGTCCGTTTATGAGAAGTGCTGAACGAAATAAATAAAGAAAGAGAGAGAGAGAGAGATGAAGAGAGTAAAATGTATTAATGAAAGTCTGTGAATGTGTGGTGATTCACCCTAGTCTATTCTGTTGATTTTTAAAATGGAAAATTTGGAGTCACGTAAAAAAAGCAAACATTTGATTTTTGATATTGATGCGAAAAATCAAGCAACTATTTGATGTTGATTTTTTTGTATGAAGGAGAAACAGTTCTATTGAAGATTTTTTTTTCAACACTTTTGCCATATATCTTGATTTACTGTTCAACTAGAAATGATATATGCATTCATATGCAAAACCTATACCCAATTGTTTAGTATTACATCTTAGTCAATAATTATAAAAAAAGAGTGAGAGAAGTGCATATGAATGGGGCAAAATGCATTCCTCAGTTTGCAAAGTTTTTTTGTGCTGGCATGTCGACGAAGGCCGGGTACGAAAAACCGTAACGATAAAACGACAAAGATATGTGCATGAGGGAGAATGTGTATAAATGTAAGTGAAAGAGAAAACTGATGAATCGTCTAAAAGATATTCATTTCCTTTTCATTTTCATATCAGTGGTTTTTCCTCATTCGTTCGTTGTGTGTATGTTTTTTTGTTGCTTGAACATATGCGGAATCTTAATTTTTTTTATACAATTATATGCCTACTATTTTCCAAGTAAATGATCCTCTGTGTTCCCATTAAATGAAAAATAAAAAATATGTCTATGCAATGCTTACAAAGCGTAAGCGACTCGAAAAGTATGAACGAAGGATTTCATTTGGGAAAGCAAATAAGCGAATTTTCATTACCGACATACATCATTCATTAAAGCTAGAAAATGCTGAAAAGTTTGTAGGGTGTAATGGAATGAGTGTGAGCGCACGCGGTCGAATGAGAGAGAGAGAGAGAGAGAGAGAGAGAGAGAGGAAAGAAGCCAAGAGAGACTGTATAGTTTTTCTTAAGTCGACATCCGTTTCGTTTTCCATTTTTCACTTATGCAACTTCGTGCATTTTCAATTTGAAGTGCAGTTGCATATGAGCCACAATTCTTCCACTGACTGACTGCTGCTACCGCTTCGTTATCGTTGCAATCGTAATGTCCTCTACGAGAGAACAGTTTTCCATTGCTTATCTCGCTTGCCCATAATTTTCTTCGTCACATTTTTCACTCACTTCGATTTGGCTCGGAGTTTTTTTTATTTCCGTTCATTTCTCTGTTTCTCTCATTCGCCAACCGTTGCATCTCGTTCACTCGTTTGGATACTTGTGTAATGGTTTTTCTGTTGGGTTTTAGTATTTGTCTTATAAACCATTGATTCTATCAACAAACACATCTTCCGTAAACGCCACATTATCAAGCATACGGTTTGAAGTGTATGCTTTTCTCCGTGTATCCAAGACGAGATCGGATGGTATGGCGCGTTATGCACCTTCCATATATCCTGACTGGGTATATCGTGAAAACCTTTGTATACAGATGATACGAACAATCGACCGCAGTGAAAGGCAACAGTATTTGTAAATGCTTATTGTTTTTTTTTATGTACATTCGTATCACCGTAACGGGATTCACTCCGTCTTTCCTGTTTTATTGTAGTCATTTTCAGATTGGCATTGGGTACGTTTGATCGTTGCTTTAATTTTCCACCAAGAGTTGAGTGCGTTTGCTTCATATACTGTTTATTTATTTACTTGCAGTGGCATTCCTTCCGCTCTGGATTTTCTCAATTTAACAAACATGTATGCCAACTAACCAGCTTGCCAACCCTCACGCACAGTTCAACAAATATTCATATATATATTTTATTTAAGATGAAGAGATTGTTTATTAAAATACCTAAGAAAGTGACAGCGATTGTGTACGAAGTATTTACTTACTGCTTTTAAACAAAAAAGGAGCCCGAACTTAACTGATCATGACTTTGCAGTTAATCTTATGAAAATGAAGCGATTAGTGTATGCATTTCGGATTCGAATGCATATCAAAGCCATCGCATTTTTTGCAGTGCAATGCAAAAAATGAGGGAACAAAAAATTAACGTTTGCATGTATTTAGCTTAACTTATATAAAATAAATGATTCAAAATGAAAATAAAACCGAGTTGATTATGAATCTCAAGCAAGAAAAAACAAGATGTGAAAAAAAACGCGCACTACAAAATTCAAAATGAGAATAGAAATAATTAATACGATGAGATGAGGATAGAAACATCTATAGAATTCAAAAAGGTCTACTACCGCAAGCACGAAAAAATTGTACGATGTCTGTACTAAAAACGTTGATAAAGAACGAAAAAAAAAAACATTATTTGATATGGGCGAGTGAGATAAAAGCGAATCGTGAAGAGGTTTGGGTCATACAAATGCATATCTTCGGTTTTTCCCTGTCATTTAAATAAAACTATAGATTCAATTAGATCAAAAGTGAGAGAAAAATTGTAGAAATCATCATAAAAATTTCTTCCGTTTTTTTGTTGTCTTTTGACCAATAGATTTTTTTTAAGTACAAATGCTGAATGCTGGCTTAATAAAAGAACTAAGTTTAGGAAAGCAATCCTTCAACTATTCAGCATCTCTTTTTTTGTTTCGAATGTAGCTCATAGTTGCATCTGCTTTCCCATTTTGAGCAATACAAAACTCCTTCAAAACAAATACGGGAGTATGTAAAATGATATCGCCTGAGTGCAATTCCGTTACCGAAAGAAAAAGCATGTGCTGCGTGCCCCGTTTGATATAGACAAATGCAAATATTGAAGATTCAGTGTAAGACTTTATATATAAAAAAAAAAACCGAACAAAAGCACGAGCGTCTCGTTCTCATTTGCACCAATGCATTTGAGACTGGCAACAGCAGCAGTTGCAGAAGTAGC